GACGATTTCAGCAACCCCTCAAGATTTCTCTCCTTCTAATCTTGACCAATCGTCCTTCACGGTTGTGGCTAAAATATGATGCTAATTATGTCACTTACCCTTAACTGGCTCATTTTTTCTAATTAGATGCAGTTCAGACTCCTTGGCATGGCCTTAAATGGTGCCCACGCTTTTCCAGGATAGATAGATTTCTCGTTCATTTCTTAGAGCTCTCTGTTTAATATATACGAAGTACTCTATAAAACAATAAATCATCCGGAAGTCACTGTGCTTAAGCTTATTAAACACTGCGTTTAAGGTCTGAAACGATCTTAAACATGAAATGATGAAAAAAAAATCTCTCGGATGGTGCTTTCAGCAACAGCCCCCCTCAAACTGACCCAAGGGCAGATGTTCTTCACTCTAAATTCCATACCACTGGAGTTTGGTAAGTCTCCAGGGCTTAGCGGCTTGACTTGTAAGTTGCATTGCAGACTCCTAGAAATGTCATTACCTTCTAAAGCGTCTTTCTCCCTTAAGACAGCACAAAGGAAACAGTCTGAGACCTCCCCTTTTTACTTTCACTTAAAAAAAAAAATCCATGTGTTCATGTATCAGGTAATATATTAGTTATTATGAGCATTATAAAAATAGGTAAGACAACGATACTGGCTCTCAGCTTGTGAGAGCTTAAGGTATTTGTCATTGTCAGGCCAGTAATATCTATAAATCCAGAACTGTGCCACGTACTGTCTTCCCTGCACTAGACACGGAAGGATGTAAGAGGAGGGGGAAAAATGACCTTTCTTTGCCTTTAAAGAGCTTGTAATCAGCAGAGGAAATAAAAGTCACACACAGGCCGGAATCTGTTTTGTGCTGAGTGTGTGGCGGAGGCATTTGAGGGCTTCAGTCACGCAGAAGAGGAGGAGATGGGGAGACTGGAGTGACTCTGGCTCCGAGTGGACCTGGAGGAGGGCGAGCGGCCCCGAGTCCAGCCTGCGCGTTGGAGAGCCGTGGAGGGGACCCCACCAGCACACAGGGAGCTCAGCAAGGGCGGTAGAGCTGAGTCCAGTTCTGCCGCGTTCAGAAGTGGAGTGTTTTGAAGCTTATGTCGTTAGCAGCCCTTTGGATTTAGAAGGCTGTGCCAAGGGGGCTTTATGACGAAAGCTGGGAGGATGGGGCTGCTGCCACTCTGTCCTGACCTCTGACCTCGAGCAAGGACTCGAACTCTCCGAATCTCTATGTCCCCTAAGATGACGAGGGTAGAAGGGGCCATGGCCAGCTTCTCTTCCACCCGGGGATTCCTAGGACTCTGTGCCCCACAGCTGGGGGGGGGGGTCTGGTGGCAGGACTGTGGCTGTTCCCCTCCCTTCTCCCAGCACCAGCATAGCAAGTGCCTGGCACGCAGTGGGTGCTCAGTGAGAGTCTGTGGATGGATAACTGTGTCATCCTCCCCCTGGCGCGCTCAAGAGTCCCTTCTTCCTCTTTCCTTCTCGCAACCATCTGCCTTTCTACGTCATCGTTTCCTTTTATTTTCCACAGCTGTCTTTCATCCTGCTCTCCGTGGTAAGTACTAAGTCAGTCTTATGTTTGGTATCGAGGCCTAAAGAGCTGACTCTGGGCCTGGGTCCCAGGCTGCGCGTCAGGCAGGAGGCCCCAGCTCTGGCTCAGCGCTCGATTCACTGCCGGGTCCTGCAAGACACGGCGAGGTCTTGAACAGCCTGGTTGCCTTTCCCGCTGCCTCATTGGTGAGGCAGTACTTTCTTCATAGAGATGAAATTAGAGCTTGATATTTTAAAGGAAAATACGAAATTTCCCTCAGACTCAAAGTGCTGTATAAATAGGAAAAAATTAAATCTTTAAAAAAAATGTTAACTGACATATAATTATATATTTTTATGGGGTGCAATGTGATGCTTTGATATATGTACACCTTGTGGAGTGATGAAATAGAGCTAATTACTATGCCCATCACCTCACATACTTAGCATTTTTTATAGAACATTTAAAATCTCTTTCAGCAATTTCGAAATACATGGTGCATTATCATTAACTGTAGTCACCATGATATTCAGTAGAGCTCCTGGACTTACTTTTCCTAACTGAAATTTTGTGTCCGTTAACCAATATCTCCCCTCACCTCTGGTAGCTGTCACTCTCCTCTCTACTTCTATGAGTTCTACTTTTTTTGATTCCACATATAAGCAAAATCATACAGTATTTGTCTTTCTGTGCCTGGCTTGCTTCACTTAACATAATGTCCTCCAGGTTTGTCCAAGTTGTCACAAATGACAGAATTTCCTTTTTTTTTTTTTTTAGGACTGAATAATATTCTGTTGTGTATGTATATACTACATTTTCTTTTTCCATTTATTCATGCATTCATTCATGGACATTTAGGTTTCTTCCTTATCTTGGTACTCGTGAACAGTGCTGCAATGACCATGGTAGTATAGATATCTTTTTGAGATCCTGATTTCATTTTCTTTGGCTAGAAACTCAGAAATGGGATTGCTAGATCATATGGTAATTCTATTTTTAGTTTTCTGAGAAACCTTATACAGTCTTCTATTAATATAATGGTCGTACTGAGTTACATTCCCACCAACATGGTTTCCCTTTTCTCCACATCCTTACCCACTCTTGTTATCTTTCATCTTTTTGATAATAGCCATTCTTGCAGGTGTGGGGTGATATCTCATTGTGGTTTTAATTTGTATATCCCTGATGTTGAGCATTTTTTCATATATCTATTGGCCATTTGTATGTCTTCTTTTGAGATATGTCTTCTTTTGAGGTCTGTGTTGGTCCATTTGTGCTGCTATAACAGAGTACCATAGACTGGGTAATTTATAAAGAACAGAAATTTATTTTTCACAGTTCTGGAGGCTGGAAGTTCAAGTTCAAGAAGCCAGCAGGTTTGGTATCTGGTGAAAGCCTGGCCATGCTTCCAAGATGGCACCTCATTGCTTCATCCTCCAGAGGGGACAAATATTGTGTCCTCGCATAGCAGAATATGGAAGGGCGAAAAAGGGCCCAAGCTAGTTCCCTTCAGCCCTTATATAAGACAGTAATCTGCTCATTTCCCAAAGGCACCACCTCTTCATACCAACACAATGGGGATTAAGTTTCAACATGAGTTTTGGTGGGGACACATTCAAACCATAGCAAGGTTCATTGCCCATCTTTTAATTGGTTTATTGTGTTTAAGTTGTTTGAGTTCCTTCTATATTTTGGATATTAGCCCCTTATCTGAAAAAATTAAATCTTAAGTGACATCTCAAACTTGTCTCAAAATTTTAGATAAAATTTTATTGTAAATATTGTCAAAGGACTTACTTAAATATGTTGACATGTAACCATAACGGTTTTTCTTGCATCTAATATTTTAATGCTATTTTTTAAACTGTCACTTCCTAACTTAAAACAATTTTGTGAGTTTACGCCATTTCCTATCTCATTGCATTTTCTTTAAACTTTGTCAGATATTCTATTTCTCTGCCCTCTCTGAAATCCCTTTTGCTAGTGTCATCTCATAAAAATATTATATGTGCATCCCTAAAGAATGAAAAGAGCAAAGACAAAAGAAAAAATTTGGGATTCCTACTTTGTCTTTCTTCATTATGTCCATTACAAATTTAATTGTCCTGAGTCTGAGAATGTCACGTGTCTCCACGGCTGCAGCCTTCTCTGTTTTTACCATCAGTTTTTGTCAGAAAAATATGTATCTCATTTATCATGAGATTCTAACATTAGAATAATTTACATGGTTGACCTATCTATGCCCATAAGAGCCACTTGGCATTTTTATTTCACTGGTCAAAATGGACAGATTTATGAAGATGTGCTTTTGAAATGCCTTATTTTGAGATTACTTTCTTGACCCTTGCTTCATGAAGGCAGTGAAGTAGAAGTCAAGCATTGCTCATTGAACATCAGCATTTCTTTTACTGGTTTCTCCTTTAAAATAAAGCCTAAGTGACTAACCCTTTATTCTGTTGTAGAAATAGGTTTGTAAAACATAGCTTAGTAACAATGAATAGACCCTGGCAAGCCCCATCACTGGAAGGAAAGTGACAATATATGATGCTGTACATATTGTCATTCTGGCCGGTATTTCTCATTAAAATAAGTAGAAGTGGTAATTTGTATGAAAAAAACATTTATCTTATTGTACATGTGAAATTTATACTTAAGAATTCGGATAATTTGTATGTAAAAATGAAACAGTAAGCAGTCACACAATTTCAGGAATGCAAGGGAATTCCATGTCTTTGTTTCAAGAATGTTTTTAATGCCAGAAAGGTCAGTAGCATATCTTCTTGGGTAGCCTATTGCTACGATGATATAAATGGTGCCCCTAGAATAGATATCCTTTGACCTGGGACCAACCATGTTGCATTGGTGCATGATGCCTATAACAATGCTATTCAGGCAATAATGACTACTTTGGGTCGATAAGGTTGAAGGAACTATGAATCTCTGCTTTGAAGGGGAAAAAAGCAGAGACAGCTACCTTTTTTGTAATATCATCTGATAGGTTTCAGAGAAGAATCATTTCTTGGTAGCACTGCTCGTCCCAAAAAGGAAAAAAATATGCAGATAGACAGTTCGCTCGTTGTGATAGGAAAACTGGCAGCATTGCTGAGTGGTCATGAAACAGAGAAGCCCAGGGGTGTGGCTCTCGGGCTAAGTGCGTCACTGTTCCGCTGGTGACTTGCCTCTCAAGGTATCTCTTAAGAAGCCTGGGCCCAACTCAGTGGCAAACAGCTCCGAATCCATTTGGTTTTGTGACAAGGGGCCTGGTTAGGGAGGCTGGCCTTGGTTGCCACCCTGGGAAGGAATATGGGAAACAGGCGAACACTGGTGTGAGAAAGCTGGGAAGCTGGGGCAGCAGAGGCACATGGGACTTCTAATGAATGAAAGTTGTTCAGCGTAGGGAATTTTTTTTTTTTAAAGTCCACTACGCTTTTTTATTGACTTATTTTTTGGACACTAAATGGCTTACCAACTTCCTGCAGGAGGAGCAGCTGAAATCTCACGAAAGCAAGCTGAAGCAGATCACCACCGAGCTGGCCGAGCATCGCTCGTACCCCCCCGACAAGAAGGTCAAAGCGAAGGATGTGGACGAATACAAACTGAAGGATCACTATCTGGAGTTTGAGGTATGTCGAACCGCGACGTTCATAAACGCTTATTACTGAGCTATTCTATGGTTTGTCCACGAGGCAACATTGCTTTTTACAGTTACTGTAACTGGGAAACACACCTTGGCCCTGGCTCTAACTTGGGAGCTCCTGGCTCAGTCCGGGCCAAGGTGGCCCCTCTTGTTTGCGATGCCGTTGAAGTGCCACACAAACACCAAAGCGTCGCTGCCGGTTCGTGCACTTCAAAGCAAAGAGCATGCGTGGTTGGAACGGTGTGCGCCTGCTGTGGGGGGAGAAAAGAGAGAACAGAAGAGGGACATGCCAGAGTGGACAGCTGCTTTCTGTGTCCCTGTGTCTCCTCCGGCAGAGTCTGAGTCAAAAAAAAAAAAAGTACAAGGAAGGAAATGAGCTGTGGGTTGACATGAAGCATCAGCTTTTTCCTGCACGTTCTTGCTGTTAGGTGACACCAGTGCGCTTTCCTTCTTGTCATTCACTGCTCGTTAGAGAGGGATTGATACGTTGTGGCACGTGCGTGGTTGTTAGAAAGAACAGTGAGGACCCATATGCCCTGGCGCGGAAAGGTGGAAAACTTACAAGCCATTCGAAAGCAGTATATTTCCCAGCGCTTCCTTTGGCTAAATTTCCTCCCAAACTAGTGTCCGGATTATGCAGGACCCTCTGACTTCTGACTCTCCCCGTTTAGCCACACCTTCTGACATTTAAAATGGTGTTTTGGTTTTTTTTTTTTTTAAGTAGGTAGCATGTGGTACAAAACAGAAATAATCAATTATTTTTCAATTTTTCACATATTTCTTTTGCTGTTGGGTGTGCTGGCCCCATCTATAGCTACTCTTGTTGACTGCGACTCTGTCCCCTTTTATTTCCCACCATTCATCTCCTTTGTGTCCATCTTATCATCCTGTTTCCTCCTGAGGCTTGAAACTTGCAACCATCCGAGCGTACAAATCCTGGCGCCGTCTCTTCAGCGCCCTGCACCGGCCCTTTCTTCCCACGGGCGTTGCTCGTCGCTTTTACTCTTCTCTGCTGAGTCCCGGCTTTCTCATCTCTCCCGCCGACTGTCTGTCCTTTCTTCAGTTCATTCCACGTCCATTAGCCAGTTTTTTCTCTGACGCTCAACCTAGATGCTGGCCGTCCTCTGTTCAACAGCTGCCCTAGGTTTTCTCTCACGACCTCACCCCCTCACCCCCAGTATATTCTGAATAAAATCCCAGTGCTTAACCGGAGAGTGTTGGCTTCTCCATAGCGTTAGTCTTTCCCACACCAGCCTCTGTGTACTTTAGTCACACTTCTGCCCACTAACCCCAAACACACTTTCATACCTTTGTTCATCTGCTTGCTTCTGCCTCCGAGGCTCTTCCCACCATCTTCGTTCCTGAAAGTCCTGTTCCTCTTTCAAGGTACAGCGCCTTCTAGGAAAAGCCTACCCTACACCTACCAGCTAGGATTAATCTGTCACGGTATTTGCCACAATTTGCTCTGTTCAGAGTTATTTCAGTCTATCTTTGTATGTACAGTGATTGCATAACCCCTCCCCCTGCCCAACACCATGAGTTTTTGGAGGGCGGGGACCCCAAGTTCATTCCCAACCTTGCTTTACGCTTGCTTATTGAATTGGACAGGATTTCATGAAAGCCTTAAAAAGTCTCCTTCTAAGATAAACTGTTCCTATTATCAAATGTATCAAATGTGGCATTTGGTTCAAAAGATGGCACTTCCACTACAGATCCACGTACTGGTTTTTTCATAGTCAAGCAAGATGGGCAGATTGCAATATCAAGAGAAATCTTTATTTTGGTAAAGGTAAAAGTTTGTTAACAAAAGCTGTGGAAGCCTTGCCAGCAAAAGACTTGGAAAACTAGTGAAAGAAAAGAACAAAAACAAAAAAATAAGCCACTTATCTCTCCCCAGGCTCGTTCATTCTTGGGAAATAGGAGTTCTCAAAAAGCAATCATTATTCTTCACACTTCTGGAGTGGCTTGAAGCCATGGGCCCTGCTTTGTTTCACACATGCTAATTAAATTTCCCAACACCTCAGTCTCCGCTTCCACCGGCACTCGGCACCTTGCTTAAGCCCTTGACTCTGAAGAGGAACAGCCTGTCCCCAGGAGATGGGGGTGGCCACAAGACCATGGGAAGGTCGTCATGCTAGAAGCACTTCCTGCTTTTGAATCTACTGGCTGCACCTTTTCTGAAAACGTAACCCAGCAAGAGCCAGCCTTTTCATTCCCTGACATGAAGTTAGACCAAGCTTTGTGGGGATTAATTCTTGCTTTCATCAAATTGTCACTTCAAGGGGCATGAAGATAGCATTCCCCGACCCTTGACTCATTGAAATCAGACTCATAAGCTAATAGGTCCAGCACGTTGACTTGTCTGTCAAGGTCATTAGCCTGTGTCTACCAGGAAGGTGACCGCATTTTGCACAGATGTCATCTAAAAAGAGTTTTGTAAAAGTAATGCTTCTTAAAAAGTGAATCATTGTTCCGCACTAACTTAAATTGAAGTGGTATATCACATAGAGTCCACTTTGCTATTATTTCGGCCACATGTGGGGGCTTGTGGAGAGTCTCTGCATAGCATCGTTTACTTCATAAGCAATATTCCCTGAGCAGGCTTCTTCACAGCCTCAACAGGGGATAGGAGAGTTATTGACCATTTTGTTCATAGCTCTATCCCCGGCTTTTAGAACACTGATGAATTGATAGATGCTTGTTGAATGAATTAATGAAATTTTATTACTGTGTATAAAAGATAACATCAGAGGAAAGGAACTCTCTGAGAAGACTTAGTATTAATTCTTTTCACAGGACCATAAGCTCCCATGAAATCAAATCTGATAGGCAGGTGAGAACAGACAGCAGTGCCTGCAGTTTGGTGGGCACCCTCAGATGGGCAGTGACAGGGAGAAGGGCTTTAATCCATCTTGTTGTCATCAAGACAGAATCACAGGCACGAATGAGCTGTCACACCTATTCCCACACTAGGTCATCGCCAGGGAGGCCTCCCCTGGTTTGAGAGCAATTCTTATAATTTTCACAAGTTTGGGTAACAAAAGACACTTTTATTTTGGCAGAATATTAAGCTGTTAGTATAATAATAACACCAGAGTGTTCCTAACTTTATGCATTGCATTTGTTTGTATCCCAAGTTGCTTTGAGTACAAACAATTCTTCGTGGTGAGCCAAATCTCTGCCTTAGAAATTCTCCAAACTCTGGCTGACAGCAAATAATTAGAATTCTGGTAAATATATAGGTTCAGGTTTTTAAAAAAATCTACAGAAGGCAAGGAGACTTCCCTCTTGGCCTGTTAGGAAAAGATTCACTTTTACCTAAAGCAGCAAACTTCATTCCGAATGGGCTGTTTTCATTGGTTGTTAACTAGAGAGGAAGAGGTGGTTTAGTTTTTGACTGAATTGGTACCCCAAGCTGTGGCTGCCATTTTCTTGGAAGAGTTCACTTGGAATCTAATCTTTCTTTTGAAAGAGTTGTGAGGCATCACAAGTCTACATCTAGACATCATAGATATCAGACATAGCCACATTTCCTTATAAATTATGTCTACTTTATTCAGTTCGCATTTTACTTAAAAATGTTTTAATTGATCCCTATGCTTCTGGTACTTTAAGAAACTTATCAAGATCTGGGGCAGATCGATTGTTCGTATCAGATGTAAAAACTGGCAAGGCCCCTGCCAGTCAAACACAGTAGGTGGAGCTGTGCTGGGAAACACCGGGCCCTTTAAGAAACAGCATCATCAAAGAAATTCCTTTGATAGCAATGCAGTTGGCCCTGATATGTTGGCTTTATGTTTTTTCAACTTTAAAAACAACAGCAGTTAGAAAGAGAAGATGCTGTTTCTTCTGAGATATTTTTCATGCAACACTTCAGATGTTTGCAGTAGGTTGAGTAACCAATCCTTCTGTTGAGCACCCCTGAGTAGGGAGAGGAAGGAGCCACAGCAGCCATATTGAAAACATGGCTGGGCTGTGAGAGGTTTACTTCAGAGGGATTATTGAAGGTCAGGGTAATAGCCAGCTCCCAGGGGTCATTGTAGAGCCAGGTTGCCAGTGAATTTTACGTGACCAGCAGACCTAACATCAACATGTTTTCTCTGGCCAGCACATTGCCGAATTTGTTTTCATTGTAATCTAAATGCATTTAGGAAAGACAAGCAGTCTCATTCCCACTGCCCCCTATTATGTCACATCTAATAGCTTTCTACATTTGTGCCATCGCCTGGCCCCTGAAGCTATTTCAGTTTGCAAAGCCTATTATAGAGGCTGCCACCAGTTTCATATGCTTTGAGTATTAGTTAGATCTTTGAACGTGTGCTTCCATGTGTATGTATTTGCATGTTCCACTCCAGCAGGAAAAAGAGAAAGTCCACTTCCCTGATGACTGAAACCAAAGACTTAGAATAAAGCAGTAGTCTCCAACCTTTGTGGCACCAGGGAGAGGTTTCATGGGGGGCAGCAGAGGGGATGGCAAGCAGTGGGGCGTGGCTGTAAATACAGATGAAGCTTTCCTGGCTCACCTGCCGCTCACCTCCTGCTGTGTGGCCCAGCTCTTAACAGGCCACAGACCAGTACCAGTCTGCAGCCCAGGGGTTGGGGACCACAGGATAAAGGTCCCTTGACTTAATGGGCTAGAATTCAGCCCAATGCCCACCCCTAAACTGCGACCTGGAGTAGCATATGCTTATGGCTTAAGACAGTTAGGGCCCACACCAACCACATGGCTAGGAAATTCAATTTTGGAAACAACAAATGTCCACTATAATGAGACATATAAACTTCTTGGGACAGAATATTTAAAATCTAAGAAATCTGGGACATGATGCATCTTTTTCTGAATTTCTAGTTTTTGATGGCATTTAAAATGGCATGATTCCTTCTCAAATCGATGTATTTGAGAAAAAGAATACATTCCATATAGACTCATTAGGGAAACCCAAAAAGAGCCCATATCTAGAAGCACATATAATATACATTTCAGGT